CAGATGAAAGCGAAAACAAATACATTACTTGTGTCAGTCTAATTGGTACTTAGTATTAAATTTTTGTGTCGTTTTAACAGTACCATTGATAAAGCTGTACTATAGCAAGGTTTTCTCTTAAAATATGTCACTTTCTCGATTAGCATAAAAGTCATTTTTTTAGTGTTCCAGAAATAAATGAAAAATTTAACGCATTTAAATCTTCAGTGCAGCAGTTTTTGTTGATAAAAATCTGTTACAATTAGTTCTGGAGATAATATAATTTTAAATTCTTGTACCCGCCACTGGTGCATATGTTGAAACGCTTAATTAAGTTAATAATAAACAAAAATAAGCATAAAAATAAACATTAATACGGGGTGACACAAAACTATGTACCCAATTACTTGTTTTTCATTTTTAAATCTTTTTTTAGTACATACTAGCAATGCTGAATCGTTTCCACCCTAAACGGAACAGCCCCTCACCCTCCTTTCCATCTCCACCCCCTTAAATGACGTGGAAACCATCGCTTACTAGAGGAATCTTTAAAGAGCTTAGAGATGCGATAGACATTCAACTCCTATGAATCTTACATTTGAAAAGTTTTTTGGGTCGCTGATCACGAATCTGGTCTCATAATCTCGAAATTCAAGATGGCGGATCCAATATGGCGGACAAAAAAAAATGTTTTCAAAATGCACGAATTTTTGTGTTAGGGGTTTTTGTGTCTTTGGGTATCCCATTTGGCGAGTATAAAAATTGAAATGTCTCGAAATTGAGAATTGTGTTGAGGGGTTTTTTGGCTCACTAATTACGATATATGGAATACGTCATTTTGAATTTCGTAATTCTGCTTTCAGATTCGTAATCAGAGACCCAAAAAACCCCACTACACAAAAATTCATGTATTTTAAAGACATTTTAATTTCTTTGTCTGCCATATTGAATCCGCTATTTTGAATTTCGTGATTTAGAGTCCAGATTCGTAATTATAGACCCAAGAAAACACATTACAAAAAAATTCATGCATTTTGAAGACATTTAAATTTTCTTGTCCGTCATATTGGATTCGCTATTTTGAATTTCGTGATTTTGAGACCAGATTCGTGATCAGCGACCCAAAACCTCTTCATGTGTAAGATTCATAGGAATTGAATGTCTTTCGCATCTCTAAGCTCTTTAAAGATTCCTCTAATAAGCGATGGTTTCTCCGGCATTTATGGGGTGTGTAGGGGGAAAGGAGGGTGAGAGGGTTGGTCCGTTTAGGGTGGAAACGATTCAGTATTGCTGGTAGGTACTAAAAAAATATTTTCAGATTTTTTCAGCCAAAAATAAATTACAAAACAAAACACACAAAACAAAAATGCGATATCTAACATTTAAATGTTTTAATAATTTGGCATGACCGCTGCAATCACTTGATTTAACTTCCCTCATTTTTTTGACAGATTTTTTGAACGGCAGATTTGCATAGCTCAACAATTGCCAAGCCGGTTGCCATGCGTCGTCGGCCTAGACAACCTGTTATTTCCAAAAACTTATCTCTTTCTTATTCGGAATACACTGGACATTATATCCGCTGGCTGGTATTTATACAGGGTGTTCTACAAGCTCTATGACAAACTTTGACAGATGGTAGCTGGGTTAATCTCAAACATTTTTTCTTATATGAACATAAGCCCGATTCGTTTTTGTTTAGTTACAAACATTTTAAAAAATATAATTTCATATTTCAATCAAAGTAGCCTGATAAATAAAATTATAGATGCTATAACGAATGGGACTAGGTATGTTCATATAAAAAAAATGTTGATCGCTGAAGGACGTTATTGGGCCAATATTACTTTCAAATATAAATAATGAAAAAAAAAAGAAGTCTGATAAAAATACAGCACACAAGTACCGTTTGATTTTTTTAATTTATATTATTATAAGCAATTTAAATTGTGTATCTGCTGTTTTACAACCCTCTGTATTTAATATTTATGTTTTTAAAGATAGTGAATCGTTCCATAAAACATTCACATTCCTTCTTTTCGATATTCGATTTGATGATTTTTATAACTCTTTTCTTCATAAATATGTAGATTTAAATCTGGCAGTTCAGCTAGCTAAATAAAAATATATTTTTATTCTTTGAGTTTTTCCATTATGTCGAATTCTTGTTCATAAAAATTTAAATTGTCATTTAAACGGTTTGCGTCATCCTGTAGAATTTTCTGCTGTATAAAATAATCATGGTTCATTCAATCGTTTGTAACCTTTACTAGCCTTAGAGAGAGCTAGTTTAATAGTAGTAGTGGGACCAGTGCACTATGAGTTTAATGGCATGCGTAAATTCCGAAAATAACATAAATTTCATGTTTTGTTTGAAATGTTATGGGAGCTTGAATTGTAAAAATATTTAAAAGCGTACATTTCACTGAGGCAGAATTATAAATAGCTATAACATAAACAAAATCTTAAATACCCGTTAAATTAAAAACACCTGGTTCTATTTTGATATCCAATAGGGAACATTTGTCACTATCGCCGTCGTCAAATTGATTTAGAAGTTAATGAAAACGACAAATAACATGCCGAAATCAAAGAGGGTTAATATAAATACAAGAGAAATCATATTTCACCTAACAACTACTATAGAACAGAAACGTTTACAATAACTTAGTTTTTTTTGCTATTATTATAAGGATGTTCAAACCTATATCACACTTTCTATTACTACTGCTTTTTGGATATTGCTTTTTGGACACAAAAATATATTTCTAGTTTCAAATGAGCCAATTTTTATATTTAGTAACAATCCTATAAATTTATTTGATACAGTAATAAATAAATTCTAATATTTCCCTATTACAAAATGTGTCCACTATTTACTTTGTTTGCGGTCACATTGAGAAAACAAAACACCGTCTAATAATAATGACCCATTTCTTCTATAAAAGAATATAATTACCCCAAATTATGTTAAGAAAAAAATGTTTGCTTCTTTACCGCTTTAGCTCATTACACTAGAAAGTTGTATTTAGATTTTGGTTCCATGTCGTACAGCTTTTTCTGTACAGGGCCGTATTGTTTCGTACATGAAATTATACAAGGTGATTCACAAGTTATCCGAAAATATTTGAGGATAGGTCATGGAAAATGGACTATATCGTAAAAAAAATTTGGATTTGTTTGTTATAGTTTTCGAGAAAAAAAATTATTGATGTTGTAGTATTTAAAACCCTCATATTGCTGGGCTACTGTAGTCTCATCCGAATTGTGCGCTGAACGCAATTCGCTCTCTCCACGTGGCCCGAATACTGAAATCCACTTTTAGTAGGTATTACATTACTTTTCCAAGTGGTAAAAATGGCTTACGTGTATAGCAACTCGGAGTTGATGGATATCGTTTTAATTTATGGTGAAGTAAGACAACATTTGTGTTATACTGAAGTATTTGTGTTATGGTGAAGCAAAACAACATTTGTGTTATGGTGAAGCAAGACAACATTTGTGTTAGTTTGTAGAAATTGGGTACGACGCGACGGGTCCAAATGTGTTTACACGTCTGTGGAAAAAATGTTGAACTGTTGTTATAACATCAGGTATGTTAAATTATTTTATTAATTCAAACCACCAATTAATTTTATTAATTAATAATAACAGTAACGGCAAAAGCAGTTGAATTTGCTGATATAAAATAGTTGTTTATTTATTTCCTTAGGTTAGAAATTCTTTCAATTTTTTGGTCAGGTTTTACAGTGGACCAGTTTCCAGTGCCCTGCAGAAGTGTATTTTTAAATAATTTTTGAACTGCCCTTTTTGATTTTTTTACAAAATTGTATTTGTAATGTTTGTATTGTACATTCAACATTTTTTTTCGTATAAGTTCTGAATCGACCTGTATTTATTCTAATATCTTCGTTATGCTTAAGTCGATTTAAATAAAACTTGATTATTCGTCAGTTGAGCCACCAGACATATACTGAATCTACTATATGTCTTCGTGACGTACATACCTACTTTATTGGCTAACAGACTATTAGTTTTTCTCAATATCATCAATTTAAAAAAAGTTCAGAGTAGTACGTCTTTTTACGAAAATGTCCAGGGAAACTAAAATTATGACAATTACGATGACATCAGTGGTATAAAAGATAAAAGTTGATATACACATCTTGCGTTTCTCTCTATATGATATTAAAGCAATGTCAAATTATCTAATTAGCCATGTATTTACACTGTATCAAATTTGGTTTAAATCAGGTAAATATACATATATTAAGTACATAACACGGAAAAACGTATGAATTTTTGTTGGGATACTGCCTGCGTGTAAAGTTTGATTCATCTAAACTCGAATATCCTGTATATTTTGACTAAATCATTAGTTTTCGTCTTCAAACTGATTAGAATCGCACAAAATTTAAATTAACACGAATCCTAAAAAATAATAATATATAAAATCAATCATCAAATTCATATAAAAATATGTAAACCTTCTGTTAATTATAGCAAATGTTGTAAAGTTTAATCTTTAAGTAAATTTTTCCTCAATGCTCAATGATCTAAACCACACTTATTTTGTTAACTGAATAATCCAGCCTTGAGTACGATTCCATTATCTTTTAAGTTAATTGAATAAAATGTTTCTCAAAGTGCAAATTGAATTTATTACACTGAAATAGCATCATCGGTAGAAGCCTTAAGGCTTACACCTATGTTGTTTCTTGATTACTGTTGGGTAAGTGATGTTAGATATCGTATATATTCAATATCACTGTTACTAGAAATATTAAAATTGGAAACTGGAAACGAAACATTTCCTCTGTTAAAATGCTTTCACATTGTTTCTTTAAAATACATTAAGAATATAAACAGTGATCTAAAAATGACCGACACACTTTTTTATTAGGAAATGCATCCGATTTTTAAATCAATCTTATTACTTGAATTTTTTCATGCGTTTGTTAGTGAAATTAATAAAAACAAACGCGTGTACGTAAACCTGACAAAGCAAACGGTAGACTCACCTGTTCGATAAAGGCCTAACCCGGACCGCAACTTTTATTCGAGTCATGCTATCTACGCTAATGACTACAAATTACATATTACACGCTCCTTAAAATTTAATATTTGGCAATTATTGCATCGCCACACTACGACCCGCACTTTAATACATCGTAAATAACGAATATCTGGACCGCCTCCAGGTCCAGACGGTGCGTTTCTGGCTGATGCTGGTGTTGCTCAAGCGGTGCCTCCTATCCGACGTTCTATATTTATCTGGCGGAGGTACTCCGCTAATAGCGATATTTAAAAAAGCCGAAAGTTAAGGAACGACAGCGATTCCCAATGTCTCGGCACGGAAGTGCTTGTCTAATGTGGGGCGAAGTTTCCCATCCCCAAATCGCTATCCACGATGTTTGAAAACTGAAGAAATATCTTATTTTATCTTTTTTTCTTTATGAAATATATACGAATTTGTAATATATTTCAGTTATAGGGTGTACTACTAATGTCTTTTACGACAAGTTAAAACATAATTTGATTACATTTTTGAAATGGCATCAAATATTAATTTGTTTTGAGGTCTATGGTAGATAGAATGCATTAAAAGTAAGTATTTTTAGTAATTAATTTAAAAAAGTGATACTAAGTGATAATAATCAGAATTGTTAACACTTATTGATAACCTCTGGAATAGCTTCCAAGTTACGTGCTACATAAAAAGAAGAGAGTATTTGTGGCCGTAAATGGCGTCGTTCACTTCTTTGTATCGTCGTTTGTAATAGTTTGTTTAATTTTAGGTAATTATCACTTCTACTTTAGTTTTTATTATGGAAACCTGTGTTTTTTATTGTGAAAATTATTAGTGAACAAATGTTTAAGTGAAATCATTTAATTTTCTAGATTTTTATTTTAACTGTGTTTATTTATTTAAGGTATCAAAAAATAATATATTTGCCAAAAATATTCTGCTAATCGAGTTTTCGCACCTTGATTTATTTACTTTTTAAGGGCGCCATATTCTTTAAATAGTGTTTTCCGCAAAGACAAATAATTTCAAACATTTAATAACTGAATAATCTAAAGCTTATCAAATAACAGGAATGTTATGTCATGCCACCTGAGTATTTTCAAAGACGCCGCAGTAAAACGAATAAACAGGTGCAAAAAACGATCAAACAATGAAGGTTTTAGCTACTGAAATCTACGACAATACTAACTTTTTTATATATAACTCCACATGTAAATATTCTTATAACATTTACTTACTTAGTCCTACGTATAAAATTGTTTACTTTTATTTACAAGTACCTACGTGAAAATAATTCTTAAAATGTGGGGTTAGGATAACAGCAGACGCATGTTTTACAAACGCTTTTTTTAGTTATTATTTTATTTGAGTAAATGTAAATGGTAACAATGAATAAACTGTGCAAAACCATACTTATCTTATCAACGTCGACGTCACCTGTTACATGGGTGTTGCACAATAATGAAAAAGTAATATTAACAGTTGGTGGAAGAAAGCGCAAAAACAAACGCTTAGGTGGGGAATTCTGGAAGGAAGCCTAAATAGTTGAAGGTAGGCAGTAGAAGTGAGAACAGTGTGGAGATAGGTAGCAAGAAGATCGGCGGGCAGTGTGGCAAAATAATGAAAATTAAAAGTGTTTAATCGGTATTAGTTAACTACTTTGTTGTTAATTGTTCTATGTAATCTTATTATTGTGATGGTTATAGAGGTTTCATGATAATAATTCTGTATATGTTTATTGGTTGTCTTATGCTCAGGGGCGTATATTTTTCTAAGTTAAATTGTTACAATTGTTATTAACGATTACTCATTATTTATTACATGTTAAAATATGTATATATTGTCGTGACTGCCCGGATATTACAATAACAACTTTGTTTCACATTTAACTTGTTTTGTCATGATTACGTTGTTCGAAAAAGAAGTTATAAAACATTTCTTGTGCTCACTTTATGTCAAGACGCATATAAGGGCCTTGTTGAATTCACTAACATTTTCGCCCGTGAGGAACGAATCTGAAAAAAAGAATAATTAAATACAAAAAAAGAATTGCTAAAACAGATCTTCCGAAATCTCAACTATAGCTGGATTGCCTCCCCTATGGGACTCCAGTACCTTCCGGCAATGCCGGCTAACTAACACCACATCTTCAGTTTTACTTGGAAGTGTGTATGTCTGACCAGCCTATAGGTAAATCAGGCACTGAAACAGAACATCAATGATTTAATTTTTGTGCTTACTTTTGTTCTACACGTTTTACTTTTCAAGATTTCAGTACCTACCTAAAAACGCCAGAAATTTCACTATCTCTCGGCCAGTGATATGGTCACCTTAAAGAAATATCTCTCTCAAAGTTTGTAAGCTCTATGGTTACTAGTGGTACTATTCTAGAAAAGCAAGTTACTTTTCATGTGGAGGTTTTATAGATCAGTAATATATAAAATTAAAGACGATTTTCTCAATAATCTCAATAAAAAAGTTGCTCATTTTCGGGCCCTCTGTCGCCCATTTCAAGGAATGCACACATTTCAGAAACACCCTTTATATCTTGTTCAGTTTTGTCCGTCAAATTTTTTGATATCCTAAAATTTAATTTCTCAATTTTTGGTCTGTAATTAAATATCAATAAACAACCATTAAATTTTATCCATGTTTCGAATACAAATGACGTAAACCGTTTTAAACATACTCAGCCGCGACAGATGACATTCCGATTCAATTTCAATTTTTTTTAGACAGAAACAACACGAAATTCGAATTGGAACACGGGACCAAGCCGTCTTACATAAAAGAGTTCATTTCATATTCCATGACAGGTTGAGAAGACCCAAAAGATCGTCGAATTTAAAAATTGTCATAAACTGTCCAAATGAGCCGGTTTGAACGTCGACTGTGGTTTGGCACGAATAAGTAACCAGGGCAAAGCTCCTTGTGAATACGAAGTAAAATTCCAACCATCCATTAGCACTGTATTGTATACCTGTATATTTTAAAACCATACATTGCTAATAAACTTCTTATAATCAATATGTTCATCATATGGGTATAAATTGTTGTGAGCCCAGGCTCAGACCTAGTTCAATCTAGTGACCAAAATCCACAACAACCTACGGATCAGTAATTGATACAAAGGTGCTCTTTAGCCCAAAACAAAGTGCTTTTTACCCAAACCCAGAAACAGTGAAAAAGCACCGAATTATAAAACAAAACAAAGTGGGAAAAGGCTCAGTTGGAAGCCTCAGTACAAAGTACATTGAGAGAGTTACGGACAACAAATGTCTTACTGGATCATATTCCAAGTACCGAAATTGGGCTAGAGGGAGTCGCGACGGAAAATGTCGACTAGCGAGTCTCCAATCAGTGTATTGTTGAAAAATTATATAAACCAATTTCTTGAGGTCGAGACTACATTAGGCAGAACTAATAAGATAAGGGCCAATAGAAAGGATGAGATATGACAATAGATACCTACTTTTAAACTGTCGAAAATAATTGATAATATTAAACCTATTTAAGATATTATTGATTTAACTATAATAACACTATAAATATCTAACTATTTACTAATTCTAGTAACGAAATTAGATCTAACCAAAATTTTTTACTAGTGCTCTACTCAAAATTGATAGTTGATGAAAATATGAAATTTTTTCATGTTTTAACATTTCCCTTTCTTGCTATAAAAATTATTATTTATTATTGGTCAATGTCATGGTTTTAAGACTCACTCGGATCGTTACTCTTTGTTCTGTTATGCACATGATCTTAAATTATTGTGCAAGATAAACTTACCCATTTTAAATTAGAATATGTATCAGTAGTCTGGAGCTAATATATAAAGAGTACAGCATAGATCATTAATGTCCTTTCTAAAAGATCTGTTTCTCAAGTCATATTTTTGTATAAGGTTCTCCATAATATTTTGGATTAGTCAGATGTTTTAAATAATGTTCATAAAGTACCACGTCTCTCAGCTTGCAGCAATAACATTTTTAGTCTACCCACAGCACGCAGTAATATCCTTGTAGCACCCTCGTGTATCAGATTATTTCCAAGTACAGTGAGACAGAAAATAATGATAGAAAATGCATTAAGTAGCCATTACACATCGTTTGTTAACTGTTTGTCTTGTTCTTTATATTTGTGTTCTTTGTACATTTGTAGTTTTTTCTCTATTTTTCATATTTAATATCCTTTTTTTCTCTTTTTTCTTGTTATATTTTACTTAACATATCCTGTAGACATTGCTTATTTGGATATGTATTTTGAATAAATAGTAATAAATTTTTTCTTTTTTTTTTATGTTCGAAGCCAATAATTTGAAAATGAAACTCATTTCAATGGTAATAAAACCAATATATTTTATTGAAACATATTTCATTTAATACAATAATTATATGTATGGATAACACATTAAACAAAAATGCAGCGACTTTCGAAACCCCATACAACGAGATCACCGCTGCATTTCCACGGTTGTGTTTTAATAATAACTTAAACTTGTTGAATAACGTGCAGAAATTGAGACCATAATGCTTTTATGCAACATGCCTTTTTATTGCAAATCGCCATGAATCTAAAAAATAACTCGTTCTAGATATCCAATAAAGAAAAAAAATATTCAATATAGTACAGTATAAAAATACCTAACGATGGGGCCAACAATTATCCCACAAAAAACTATTACGTTCCAAAATATAAACATATACTATCTGCTTTAATAGACTTATCACAATGATATTTACATTTTTTTGTTTACCGACACGCCCTCCTCGCATTGCTGGATCCGTATGGAATCCAAGAGAGCGAACATCTAGCTTTATACAATTCTAAATCTTTATATTTACTTATTATCTTAAATCACACAAAATTTATTGTATTCTGATTATCGACAGCAACAGCTAACGTCGGAGGAATCCAGACTGCAAGTCCTGACTGCACCCGTTAATATTTTGGTAGAAACTCGTCACGACATTGTTACGGTTATTTGTAAAAGGGAACATCGATACTACACACACACACATATAAAACTATGTAATACTTTTGTATAATTTTTTCGGTCTTGGACTCGAGAAATACCAAAACAGAATGAAACGGTGTCATGAATTGTAAAAATCCAAATTATGTTTTGATACTTGTCAAACTAACTGTTTTACAATTAAGGAAGAATATAGTTGGTATGAATTAGAAGGGTGATTGTCAAAAGTAATGTCGGTCTGCAGTTACCAACACAATATTACTTAAAAAACAGATCAATACATTCCGAGCTGGAATATTTTTGTAACGATTCAACATATTTTGTTGCGTATATCTTTTTAGCGTTTTTAAAATTCTCTTAAGATTATTCACATGAAAAATGGCTTCCTGCATTTTTTATGGTATAAAATTAATAAATTTCAAAATTGAAATGTTTATGAACTGTTTTGTTTATTAAACATAAAAAATCGCACATCACAATTGAGCAAAATGTGCAAATTAAAAAAATATATGTTCAAGTTTATGACATAATTTTGATTAAAAAATGTACCGAATATGTAAAATAATTATTTTTTTTGTATAAAATAATTTTATGCATATTAATGCATACTTACTGCTATATATGCATACTTTATGCTATCATAAATGATTACAAGCCACATGACCAGTAATTTTGATGGAAACAGTAATTTTATTTTCTTGGCGTTAATTAAATTTCTGTAAACCTAAAAATTATGAAAAAATAAGATCAAGGATAGGTTAAAATATAACATTATGTTTCGCCGGTTAATGATTGACGTCATTTTTCATATTTTATTCAGCCAATCGGCGATCGCGCTTACTTGTGTGCAGACGCAACAGTTTGTCTTTGTTCATTGTAAATAAATCTTTAATATTGGTAATGCTAAGATTTAGAGATTTTTTGTTGACAGAGACCGTGCAATATCGGTTGCCTAAGTTCGGCGGTCACGTGACTTTATAAAGGCTCTGTATTACGATCGCTATTGGTATAAAATAATACAAATAATTCATTTTATTTTCAAGTCCTTGAGAAATATTATTTCTTTGGCAACATGTATTTTTTTTAGTTTCAATCCACCTTAAGAAGGCTCAATAGCAAACAGGCAACCAGCAATACATTTTTATAGATTTTATTAAGGTTTATCTAAATATGAATTAATGCACAAATAACAGACTTTCCCCCAGTTTAACGTAGATTTTCTATAAAATGAAACTCAAATAACCTTTTGGTGTAAAGAAACTTGTAATTTACAATTAAACTAACTCCATTTTATAGAAAATCTGTGTTAAAATGGGGGAAAGTCTGTTATTTGTGCATTAATTCATATTTAGACAAATTGTGTAATAAAATCTATAAAGAAGTATTGTTGGTTGCCTATTTGCTATAGAGCCTCCTAAATATATATAAAGGTAAAATAATTAATACAATACAATCATAGAGAAAGTGCATTGATCTCTGACTGGTAAGTTGCACCAATACCAGAATTCTAATGTCTGAGATGATTATTTGTGATCTTTACAATCTTTCGTTCAAGGTCAAAATAAAATTTTCAGATTCGGAAATGTGGTAATCGCAGACCGACATGTTCAACATAAACTAACAGACATAATTCGTACATGGCACCTATTTAAATCTCATCCGTAAAATATCCAGGACCAACACTCTCTCGCACTTCCAACGTAATAAATTTTGAACAATTTAAATAACGAAAACAATCAAACAGTAAACTCTAACAAATGCGCTATCTCCTGTTTATCAGGTAGGTACAGTCTGTTCGATATTTATACTTTTATCTACCTTAAAACATTTATATTAATTAGATTTAGTGGTTTCTCTTACAGCTAAGTTGGAGAAGATTTGAGCGGCTCGAGTTAATCAGAGAAATTACGATATGAGACGTATATATTTAGATTTGGTTTGTGTTTTTGATCAGCATGATTTGATTTAATTATCATTAGGCACCAAGGTTTCTTGACGAGTTACGGGTTCATTCAGTCATCTTCCTTCTTTTCCGGTTTGAGATCTACCATTGCGTGAAGTTCCTCTGGGCTGTATCTGAAAAAAGAATATGTTAAAAATTTGTTTTATGATGTTCGCTTCAGTATCTGAATTTAAGTTAATAATGGCAAAGATATACAATGGAAATAAGTAAATTTATGTTTATTTGATTTTCCTGTTTCTGGAAACTTACCCAAGTAGTGTTTGAAGATCACACACGAAGCGATAAACATAACGTTTGCCAGCAGTCTTGTGAATAATATTCTTATCGTAATAGTACCGGAGTCCGCGGGACAGTTTCTCGTAGTTCATTTTTGGCTTGTTCTTGCGAATACCCCATCTCCTGGCGACCTCGTCAGGATCGGTCAATTTGAACTCCCAGCCGTCTCCTGTCCAGGAGATGAAGCCTTGGCATGACTTGTCGGTCAGTAATTCTAGTAGGAATTGCCACAGCTGGATAGGCCCTGATCCTACACAGAAAAGACAGATTCAAATAAACAAGATATGTGAGATATTGTTGATGTTTATATAAGATTTTTTAAGTGAACTCCATTAAATGAACGCCCTAACGTGAAAACTCGTGTTTTGTTTTGCAGCTAATTACAAGTAAACATAATGCTGCCATTCTGGATGAACTGATGCCATGAGCCAATAATAACAAAAATTCTTTGAAGGTCGACGAAACAATGGCGTAGGTTCAGCATAAAGCATGCAGCCATTGTTTAACATTTTTATAATTGATGTTTTTCACATTCCTGACAGCGGTTTGTTTTTAAAGTGTCTGCATAATAAGTGTCAGATTATAATATCAAAATGGATTTATATTATAATAAATGAGAAATCTATTACAAAAAAAAGATTTACTTTTCTTTATCATCCTAAGATTATAATTGACCAGCAAAATAAAAATATATATATAGAAAATGCTTTTAGGATACCAATAATTCGTAACAGTAACAATAACAAAACTTTAATTCTGTTAAGGTTTTAAGAAGTATTTGTTCAATATTCAAGAGTTATAGAATTATGTATACAAAGTAAGACGACTTTTACGATGCTGTGGTTGATTAAAATTACCATGGTATCAACTTGTAAATGCATAATAAGAATATGTACCTTTTCTTTTTCAATTTCGAGAAGGAAATACCATAACAGCATATAGTTATAGTGAACAGCATATAGTTATAGTGATTATTGGTACTTTACTGGAAAATTACCAGTGACCGACAGCGCTATGAAGCAAATTCATGTTATCTTCCTGACTTACCAGTAAAACAGGGCCCTCCGGCGCTAGGATTGCTCGGGTACCCGGCTATCATCCCGTTCTGGATCATAGGCTTGGTGTCCTGCATGGCGTTGAGCTGGTCTCTAGCCATACCGGCGGAGAGGAAAGCAGGGTGTCCGTGTGCATGGTGGGCGAGCGAGAGATCGTGGTTGTGGCCCCACTGATCCGGTCCGCTGTTGGCGCCGCTGGGCACCGTCTGGAACGGTGTCGTGTCGTAGGGGGAACCGTAGGTGTCGCCGTATCCATCGTTGTACCTTCCAGCTCCTGAATAAGAAAAAATGTGCTATTAAATGATTTTGAATGGTGATTTGATTTATTATTTCTTTATTATCGACACTTTCTAATAATAATCAAGAAACTGCTGACAGGTTTTATCATTATTTTTCTCTTAGCTATACCGAGAGAACATACAATTCCAAGTTAATTAATGCACAGGGAACAATCGTTCTCTGAGAGCTATAATCGTGTTTGAGCAACCAGTTAAAGAATATTTGAAATTTTTTTCTGCTGGATCTATTGCTTTATGCGCCACCGCGCATTATAATGCAAAATTGTCAAGACCCTGGAAATCAGCTGATGGATTCGCAATTCATAAAAAATGAGACAAATTCATTAAAGAAAATTATCAGACGATTAGTGATTCTGGCTGAAATGAAAATCATTAAAAGAATTATCATTGAAACTGTATCCGAATTTTTTTCGGTAGATCAACTCCCACCAATTTTTAGACCATTACAATCGATGGCGATGTCAGTCTACTGACATCATATACCATGATTTCAGCGAGACCTTTTAAACGTCTTCTTTGTAAAATTGGACATTTGCTAAGACTAAATTCGTCAAGGCTCAGTGCTTTGTCCGTTACTTTTTCTTGTATATCTATCACATCTTCAAATGTCATTTAACTGCTCTCAATATGTTGACGACATAAAGATTTATTTGAATCCTATTAATTATTATTATCAACAATTGCGGGAAAGCTTGATAGCTACAAAAAATGGTTAATATCTTTGAACTCCAAAAAATGTATAGTTGAGCACTTTGGCAAATCCAATCCAAAATTACACTATCAAATTGACAACACTTCACTATTAAAAGTTAAAAGATAGATTCTTCTGGGTGTAGCTCATAGTCAGCTCATGCAAGTGCTGCTTCCAACAAAGTTTAACGCTTGTTACTTTCAAAACAATATCTCATTCAATTACATATACATAGAACATCAATCTTAAATTGAGTTTCTGCATACTTTTTCCAAATGTTTCTGGTTCTCTTTAGTATTGTAGCAATAGCACTATTTTATTTTATATTGTACGCCTGGATTTGGATTTTTACATACACCCATCTTTTTGGTCTCTTGAGTTTTTATATAGTTTTTTTTACATCTGTATACTTTTATGTTAATAATAATAATTTGTATGTATTATGTTACCCGATTTCTAATTCTCAATTCATGCTCAATTTCACTGCCAATGATGAAATAAGTCTTCAATAGTGCTTTTTATATACCTATTTTTAATATATCGGATGAGAATGGTGAATATATTTTACGCTCATGAGGCAAGGTTCGCTGGTCTTAATTTTCCGAGAATTACACGTCGACGCGATGCCTACAAATGATGGCCTATTGTTCCCAAATAGGCCTGCAATTCACATCGAGACGTTAGAATTAAAACGTGACATTGAATTTTAATTAATTTTTTCATCGCGAAGGTCATTAACATTGATTCATTAACTACCGACGGCACAATAAAAGACGAGCAATTAAAGGCTGTGACGTACACCATAGACCACAAACAAATCTAAAGATTATCTCTTCATAACCTTTTCAATGAGTATTTAATTATTTCTTCTGGAAAATCCGTTCAAATAGGCACAACGCATTCGTATATAAAACATTTAAATCTATTAGTGATTTTCTTAATTTTTGATAGAAAATCTAGACAGCGTCGGTTAAACTATAAATTTTCACTCATGTTTCGAATCCAATCACCGAAATTGCACAGAGTCGTAAACCAAACATACCTGTAACTAGACCACATGACATTTAGAAAACCCGATGTTGTTGACAAAGGTACTCTCGAAGACCTTTGTGAGACGCCCAAGGAAAAACTAGTTCAAATTTTTTAAGAAATGCCAGAAATACCACGAAATTCGAACTGGGATACCAGGCAAAGCTACCTTACATAAATCTAAGACTTAGCAGTAACTAGCGTCTAAATCGTCCAAGATTAACTGCGGACTTGTGGTTGATTTAAATTTACTCTAAGTCCAAAAAATGGTGACAGAACATAAAAAGGACAAAAAAGTGTTAAAAAGCAAAACAATGAAAGAATGCTCAATTGAAGCCTCAGTGCAAAGTACTATCGAGAGGATGCACAAGTTACTGGGAACAAAATGAGAGTATCCTACTCTTTAGAACAATCAGGTATAGATTCCAAGGTCCTAGATTGAGCTAGAGGGAGGTGCAGAAGGAAGAAGTCGACCAACAAGAGGCTCCAATCAGCGCCCAGTCCACGATGAGTCTGGTCCGTTGTTGAGAGATTTGCAGTAACCCAATCCTTGGGAGATGAGAGCTATTGAGAGAAGGGCTACAAGAGGGAGAAATGTATACATTTTGATGAAGTCAAATTTAAACGGACAGGAAGATAATTCATTGAAAGTAAGTACCTAGTACCAGATTTTAAATTGCACTAAAAATAGAGGAAATTTATATGATCTTTCAGATTGTCTCGAATCTCTCTTAGACAAACATCTCCATCTCAGCATTAGAATTGCAAGTAGGTACCTACTTGGATAGTCACTTCTAAACAAGATACATTTTGGAATTTAATGACCTGCTCAGAAATTAATCACTTTAATCAATATTCATTAAACAGTGGCTATACTTGTGGTATTATTTTCCGACAAAAGAAAATTGTCAGTCAAACTCAACTTTGTGAGCACGATGCTTTTTCACGCAACCTTTGCGTGAGTTGTTTCTTTTGGTTACCTAATATCTTAAATCCAACTTATTAATTTGAACCCCTGTCAAATCCAAGAGCCGCCGCATAACATTTTAAATATATAATAGCTATCATGTATTTCTAACAGCGGTGTAGAGATTTTTTTATATACAGAACAATGTGGAAGTGATGAAATTATAAAGTTTATTAGTTGCTTACCTCGCACATAGTTTTTTACATAATTGTGAGCGGGGTTGTATTTTGGTTCTAGTAGATGGTTGGCGGCGTAAAATTCAGGGGAGTTGTCGAGGTACTGCTGCTGATGGGGTTCCAGTGCTTGGTACTCGTGCTCCTCCTGCGTATAGTGAGTTTGCGGCGTCTGGAACAGGTGCGACTGATCGTCGCTGTTCAGCGTCTGTAGGCTCCCGTCGATACCACCGAAATTGCCCCCTGTCGACTCGCTGCCCGTCGGACAAGTACCTTTGTAACCTGAAAATAATGAAACGTTAAGGTTACCTACGTTTAATAAAAATAAACAAGACATTAGTTTTTTCTATATTTTACATCGAATTTGATTCAGTGCTACCGAAAATCATGGAACACAGAAGATTCACATCGTATTACATACACTTACATTACTTACAACTACATTTCTATTATGAAATAACTGAACATAAAATATATTAGTGTAGATCCTATAATTTTTAGTCAGTTGAACGGGTAAACCAAATTCATTTGAGCCCTGAAGGTGTGATGCGCAGTGGCAAAGTAGCGGAGTGGGGAACGTCATTGTATTTTCATCTCATTATACATTAACGGCGTTTTTTTAAATTTACGAATATCAGGGCTTAAGTTAAATGTGTCCAGTTCCACACTACTTTTTGTAAGGTAGGTTAAAGTACCTAGGTGCGTACAGTATCGCAGATTCTTCGTGGTAGGTACATAGAGGTATTAAATACTTACCATCTTTTAAATGGTGGTAGGCGGGGCTTCGCTGGAGGTGCTGCAGATACCCTGAAGGAGGACCAGGGGGAGGTGAGCCTTCTTCTCTTATTTCTGTATCCGCGGGAGGGCAGGCTGGACTTCTTAACTGCCCATAGACTCCTGGAAAATATAAACAGATTATTACATAATTTTTTGAATACAAGTCCGCATTTTAATTATTGCTTTAAGTACTTTTACAATATCAGCTAGGTTTTAGGTATAATTTATGTTATCTCTAGAAAGAAAATCATCGGATGCCAAGGGATTTTTTTAATGGAAATCTGACGTACCTAGCGAAAAGAGGAAAATATAGGTATTAGATGAAGCAAGAAGTCATAGTTTAACTCAAATTTTACCTACTACGCCAATAGCGCGTTGTTTAACCTCATCCACTTCAAAAATTTTTTATTCAAATGACAGGCATTAGAAACTGGATGACTAGGTACGTAATATGCCACAAATGTTTTAAAATATGCCTCATAATTAGGGCCATCATGTATACCAAATGCAACAATAACATTAATGTTAATTTGTTTGTCAGTCTGGCGTTATGTTTCATATAATAAATAATGTCTAGGTAGGTACTTAGATAAGAAACAATTGTAACGCCAATGTTATTTAACATTGGTGGTAAAACACGTAGTGTTGGAGGTGGTAAATTCTTAAATTTCCAGAATTCTCTTACACTGTTTTAACATCTGTTATATTTGCTTTAAAATGTAATCACCTCCAATTTCACCACACCTTTATTTCCCAATGTTACTAAGAACGCCCAACAATGTATTTATTTAAAATCAACTATTGGTCAACGAATTTGACAAACATTGCGGTAACGAGGATCGAAGCGTTTCTCGGAATTTCCCGTGACAAAGAAGGGCGACAATCGTGAGATGACCGGTTAGGGAGAGGAAACCTATTCGTATTGGCTGACACTGATCCGCCTCTTAACACTGGCCGTCTAATTGGGAAGCTGTGGTACCCGCCCACTCCATCCCAGTTGGTCCACCGTGATTTTACATCACCTTACGTAAAGTCCACCATCCACTAGAGTTGATTGTTCCGTTTTAACAGTTACAGATTACATATTCATAACGTATTTTTTCTAAGAAATTTCAATAGGATTGTCAGGCTGAACAATTTTCTATATTTACCCGCTTTTTTTATACGATTCCATAAGTTGAGGACGCCTTAAGTCCTATATACATACTTACATTCATACGTAATTATAATATCGTATAACAATGAATATATTAATTAGGATAGCTATATCTAATCTTTTAGCAGTGAAAAATTATTTTACTTTTTTGTTTCTGATAGTTTATTTTCATAAATTTTAAAATGTTGACAAGCTCATTAAGTTGGTATAGCTGATCGATTAAAGCAAGTGTTAGGAGATGACTATGGAAGCTGATATTTGTAGTACTGCTAGTGTTATTTTCATAGGGCAACAAGCAAAAACATGGACATTGCCTAATATATCTAATGCAATCGTTACCTTTAAAGTAATACATGGTATTAGACGAATAAACCTTGTCTTTGGGATATCTAACTGCTTCCTTTCTCTATATCGAAATTTAGAACTGACAACGTGTGTTCAAGAATTTGTTTGAACTGCTTGGCAAAATATATCAAGAGCGGATGCGAACCCACTTTTCTCGAAAATCAAAAATTTTAAAGTTTATGTGCACAAGACTATTACCTATATATAGTCTCGTATACATTTATTATAAAATCAGGGGTTTATAGATGTACGGTTTAAACAGGAAGGCGATATTTGTAAATTCTCCCGAGGGTTATAACATGTCTGTCTGCTTCATATCGTTTAATGTTTTGAATGGCGGATGTCCGGTACAAAATGGCCCGCGTGGAATATTAATTATTGGTCTATGATTAATCAGCGATTAAGCTGTCAGACAGTAGATAAAGATGTCTATTTCGTTTACGAATTATGAGCCCACAATAGTAGGTATTCGTCGAACTCTAAGTTTGTAGTCATGTAGGTACTTGAGTGTATTGTGTTGTATACTCCTTCCATATACATACTCTTTAACTAACACGTTAATAACATTTTTATGTACCTACCCACCAACATCGAAAATTTCGGAAGATGTTTATATTCATAAATTAAGTTTAAGGTGATGGATATATTTTGGAAATGCGTTTTACTTGAAACCGACGAAAGATAATGAAATTTTATATTTTCAGTATAGCTGTTATTGAAATGTATAAAAAATTGTTTAATATTCACACCACGTCAAATGGAGTTATAGTAACTTTTTTCTCAAAAATATAACTGTTCTTATGCCGCTGGAAAGAAATTTTAGTTATTAGACTTTGTTCTAGTTATTTAGCATGTTTTAAAAATTGTCAATAGTTTTCGAAAATGCTAATACCTAGTTAATTTAGGTATTCGAAATTTTTTCTTCAGAATGAACGTATCTTAAGTTTTTTCGTTTGCTTTTTGGTTGTTTTACGTCGGCCTATTTCTGCTACTAAACGGCTAAACACCGACGCCAGGAGACCAGCAACCCCCAACCCGGAAATTTTGATAAATCCCCACTTTGTCGTAGGGTAAGGATCTTTTACTTGTATAACATTGCTTAGACAAGGGACCAACGGCTTTACATCCCTTCCGAGGGAACCTTCGCCTAAATTTGTATAGTTTCTGTGAATACAATTACATATACCTAGGCCACTAGATGGTGGGCGAGCATCGCGAGCCTTCCTTGGATGGCCACCCATCCAAATAACTGAGATCAGCGTTGCTTAACTTTTCAAGTCGCTAGGCCGCTCTCACCTTAAAGTTACTTTTGAATCAAATTTTGGTTTCAATTTACAAATATTTTTTTTGTAAATATTTGCGCTTGTAATTTGTACAGCATCGCCAATATTTTATTACTTTTAGTGGTGTATAATAAGAATTGGGGCACAGCCGTTAAAATTTAATGAAAGTAGTAGAGGAGAAGGTCCGAATATGGGCCCCTATTGTGTTTTTTATAGATTATTAACAATTTTTTTGACAAATACACCTAAAAATTGCGACACACTTAGACCAAGAACTCGTCTACAATAATGAGCGCGGCAAAGTTCTGGAAAGATAAAAAATACTGAGATATCAGTTAAAATATGAAAACTTAACAATACCTTGTATGAGGGTAGAGTGCAGCGTTGCCAGACGTCCCGATTTTGGCGGGACGTCCCGCTTTTTAACCCAAAATTAAATGTCCCGCGCGGGACACGCTCAGTCCCGCTTTTCCCGCTCTCGGAATTATTTTCTCCAGATCTGTTATTAACGTCCTTTTGTTTTCAAAGTTTCAAAATCCCGCTTTGCCCGAAAAAAATCTGGCAACGCTCGTAGAGTGTATGAAATATGGGCCCCTATCAAAAATGATGCACAAGTTTACGTTTAACAAAGGAAACTTTATTTTCTAGTAAAAAACTTCATATATTATGATTATACAAAAGAGTAATGGCAACAACAGAAATTGGAAAGAAAGAAATTATATACAAAAGTCTCAAATGTATTTTTTTTGTTATTTACGCTATCCATAGCCTTTATCATGTCTTCGGAGTTCCATTGTTTCCTTAAATTCTTTGGTAAAAACTTTGGTTTATTACGTGGCATGGTCAACCTGGAAAAAGAACTGAATTCAAAATCACCGGAGAATATAGGCCTTGGGCCATATTCGGACCCACAAAAGGCCCATATTACCAGCATTGCATGTCATTCAACAATAGATCCCTATTATTTGTAGAGTTTAAGTGAATCAAAATATTTTCTGAACAAAACAAACTTTGATCTTTATACAAAATATCTAGGTGAATATACAAACATTCCTAGTCACTAAAAATCGTATAAAACATAATAACAACTTACCTTCAGATAATATTCAGAATTCTAGTAACACATTCACCACCACTTGTTTCTAACAATATAATAAATCAATTGCACAATGTCGGTAAAACAGTTCGCTACTAGGTCTTTTAAAGTATTATTCAGTGATGCCGCTAGATATTCTAGTAGGAATAGCCATGGGGCCCATATTAAGTACATGGCCCATATTCGGACCTTCTCTTCTAATAATGTAATAAAATAAGACTTTATCGTGTATTGATACCTTTAGTCTTGAACTAATAGACCAATATTGAAGGAGACTCAAAAATAACAAGTATCCAAAATAAGGGTTGGTTTGTGGATAAATGGAATGTTTGTTTCTTTAATTCCATTATAAATAATATAAAACTATCTACTGAAGGCTAGGCATATTGACAATTACAAGATGACATTGAATGAGTCAAGCTGGTTCTGTGGCGGAAAACATTTTAATTATTTAAGTGAACATTACTTTCAGCATTACGACACTTGAGACACGTAAGAAGAATGCAATTTTTCAGACCTTACCATCCCACACGTCCCACATATTAGGTAAGCGTGGCAACCACTCAATATTTGTCGTTAAAAAACAATTTGAAGTCACTTGTTTCCTATTTGGTAATTTATTTTTTCGGAGCTGACAAGTTGGCCATGCTAAAAATTTTGCCACGATGATAAACACAGCATGAAACACGGGATAGCCTGGTTTTATAAATACCTATTCAGAGACAGAGAGAAAGAAAAAGAGAATCATCAGCAGTGTTATAAAATACATTTATCGATATTCAAGCAATTACAATTCGATCTTAATCCAGCATTAATCGAATAAAACGGACGCCGAACACGGCTCTCGTCCGTAATTTATAGACGGGGACCCGTGTACGGCGATTGAATTAATCAGGGTTTACATGAAGAGGCTCACTTTCAACTCGAACCGGACACCGTGGACCGTAACTTTTCCGAAGCGATGCAATATAAAGCCAGTTTAATTCAATAAGTGCTCTAAATAACCACAAATTGATTGTATCATTAAATCACGACCGGATCGGGTTGCCGAGTATTACAGAACCGGTGCCGCAGAAACAGAAATAAAGTATCACTTCCATCGCGGTAGCCGCGACCGACACTGATGGCGTCAGAGGGGTTTAATCGGGGTAAGAAGAGCAGAACAAAATGATCCAGATATGGAAAATAGAAAGGACACATTGCGTTTGGATGCTGTTAACGAAGTAGGTATACAATACCT